TGATCACAAAAAATACGCACATTTATTACAATATTAATTACGTACCACTTAATTTACGGAATTAAAAACATTTGAGTCTGTTGGAACACAGTCCAAGTCAAAATTGTCATATTATCTCCACTGACGAAGGTGTTGGATCGTACGCAAACTCTCGATGAAAATCACTTTCCGCCATGATGCAATTGCAGATTTGACCTACAGCAGCGTTCTTTGACCTAATGGGTCAAGTTGGTTATTAACTAATCAGAATGCTGTGTTGTACTGACGCAATTCTTCGGAAATTCCTGAAGACTTTCCGGTAACGCAATGCGGAAGTGAACTATCGATGTCGAAGTACGATCTGTTGGAATTGATTTCAGCGAATAAACGACATGGTTTTTCCAAAAAAATAGTAACTAGCAATTTTTGAGAGGTAAACTGAATATGGCATGAAATATTTATCGCATTTTATTTGTATTAACAGGTCATTGTCATGCGTAGTTTACGCACGGTTACAGTGTTCTACGCATTCACAACATGTTCACAGCGATCGATATCCACGCTGTATCATATAAAAACGATTACCAAGATTCGTTACGCAAGACCAAGTTTTAAATTAGTTGCATTTTGAAGGGGTGGGCGCTTTGCCGAATGTGACCCCAAATATAAAAAAATGTGCACTTGCCCGGGCATGGGCGCTAACGAGGTCGAGTACGGTATATCCGCTGGATTTTATTTTCACTGAATCATTCCTTCAGCGAAAATAGCGAAAATTAATTACAAGCAAAAATAAAGTATTTCACAGTAAAATGCAATGTGACAAGTTGATTTCAATAGATGGCGCCCTCTGAAGACCTAAACACAACCCTGCGGCCATCTTTCCATCTTGTTTCACTTTGTTCAATTTGATTAACTATGCTTTCAGTGAAGCATTTCGGCATAGTTTTCTTGATGTAGACCCAAAGGATTGGCGGTATGTGGAGGTTAATGAAATGCTGTACTGCCTGAATATTAATTAGTGACGTATTCACATGACTCATGCCTCCAAGAGCCAATATATACAAGCATATGCATTCAGCTGAAAGTGACATTAAACTACTAGAACAAGCCAGTATCCGGAAATAATTGATTATGTATTTATTCTAATCACCTGTTGTTCTAGCTGTGATTGGCCGTCTTCTAATTCTCCTATGCGTGATGTACTTTGTTGCAACATGAGTTGCCGTTCATGTAGCGTTTGTTGTAATTCAAGAATCTGATTCTCTCTCTCATCCAAATCATGTCGTGATTGTTTTAGTAGTTTATCTAATTTTCGTACCTGTTGAAATAAATAAATAAATAAATAAATAAATAAATAAATAAATAAATAAATAAATAAATAAATAAATAAATAAATAAATAAATAAATAAATAAATAAATAAATAAATAAATAAATAAATAAATAAATAAATAAATAAATAAATAATAAACACTAATCATTGCCATAGACCAATGTTTTTAAGTGGGCTGATTAAAATCAGTAACCAATATCAAATCTGGTTGGTCAGAAATTAACATTGAAACAAAAAGCAAAGGTTGGTGGAATATACTCCTGCAAACAACTAATAAGGAACACACTTTTCATACAGGAATTTACTGAAATATTGGTAAATCAGTCATAGGGACTGGAAATTTGGAAAATCAAAATAAAACTAACTTAATCATAAACCTAAATTGTATGTCTTTTGACTAAATTCCAATTGAAAATGGCTAACAGAGTAGGGCTTAACATTATCATTGTCTCCATGGAAACAAGTTTCATACCTATACTTTTCATTTGCTTGTCATTTATATAATGGAACCTTTCAATCACGAATTTGTAGTGTTTTTAATTTTTCTACACTTCCACTTGTTCACCGTATTCTGATTCCAAACCAGAGAGAAACTTGCCTCTTCATTTTTCTTATCTAGTTGCCTTTCATGTCTTTCTCTGGTTTCATCCAACTGATCTATGTAGACTTTTAATTCTTCTTTGCACACAACTAAAGCTGACTCTAATTGTGATACTCTGGTTGTCCCTTCACTTGCTCTGTACTGTAATACTTGCCAAGCTTGGTCATGATCTCGCATTTTACAACTCAGCTCCTGCAATAAAAACACAAAAATAAATCAGATTTATCCTTTAAAGTCAAAATAAATTTGCATAATTTGTGGAATAGTTTTGCATATAGGCTGTTCTTTTTAAATTTATGAAAACATTTTCACATTCACTATTTTTAAGTTTTTAAAAAAAATCAGCGAAATAAATTTTCAAAATTTGTATAATTTGGATATTATACTGGCCATGAACAAGAAAAAAATAGAGATAATAAGACACATATACAAAAATTCTCTTTGAATATAGGATCTGAAAACTGAGATTACTGTAAAATACTTTATTTTAGCTGGAATAATTTTCGCTGAAAAGACTTTTTAGGCGTTTTGTATGGAATTTATTTGAATGTAAAATATAGGAAAAAAGGTATATTCGCTGGATTTTATTTTCACTGAATTATTCCTATAATTAATTCCAAGCAAAAATAAAGTATTCTACAGTAAATATTCATGTACTCAGAGTGATACTGTGCTGGAGCAATAATCAATAAATTTACTACCAGAAATATCATTCTCCAAGATGAGTTTTCTATACCTGTCTACATTCTTGTAATGCTTTATCTAACTGTTCAACCCTTGTTGATTTCATTGATAATTCACTCTGTAAAGATGCCATTGAACTCTCCATATGCTGTAGCTGGGAATTCTTTTCTTCACATCTCAATTGTAACTAAAGATGACAAATTAATGACGTTAGAGAACGCAAATAAGATGACATTTGAAGTCATTTTGAGTTTATCACTGCTGAAAATACTTCATACCATAACCTTTTCACCACCAGACTTTCCTGCCCAAATTTTTCTGCACTTTTTTTTTATATTCTTCAATATTCCTGGAAATGAACCTTAATTTTGGAGCCAACAGACAAAATTTAAGACAATTTTCAGTTTTTACTCAAAAAATTTGGTTATTTTTGTCCCAATCTTCTGAAGGAAAGAGCAGACTATAAACAGAACTATTTTGTGAAGTTGTGATGAAAAGAGGGTGGTGGTGAAAAGGCTAAATCATGCCAAAACCCAAACCTTTAATTGTATTGTATTGAATACATAGTTTGTTTAGATATACTATTTTGAATATGTAAAATAAGTTCACCTTTGAACCATATAAAAAATTAAATACGACTATGTATGACATAGTTTAATCTAAAATGTTGCGGGTAAAGTAATCTGACTCTAACAACAATCAAATCAATATTAACCCAACCCAACCAAATAATTTCTAACCAATAAACTACACAATTTTAAAACCTTATACAAAATATCGTCCTAGCAACAAGATTATGTACTATACACAAAGAATGCATAACATTAAAACGCATTACACTGTGTCAAGAAATTTGAAAGTGCATCATGCGAAGACCGTTGTAATTTAAGAAAAAGCGAAGTGTGCCATTTTTCTACAGCTTTCACAGAGACAGATCTAGAAATTGAAAAACAAGCCGAGGAAACCTTTTCTAATATTGCATGAATCTACAAACTGCAAAACAAACTGCAAAAACTTTTACTAACCATTTCAATCTGTTGCTCTAATTCCTTGCAGTGCTCCGCGTGGAGAGATTTCACCTTTTCTACAAGAGAACTAGCTTGTACAAACTCCTCAGACTTGTCGGCCATTTCACCTTTCAGTTGACCCAGCTCTGATGACCGGTCTCTCAAAGCATCTTCAAGTTCTACAAGTCTGCTTGCGTGCAAGGAAAATGCTGACACTTTTTCATTCAGTTGCCTTTCTAATTCCGTTACTTGAGAACTCTTCTTTCGTACCTGTAAATAAAAATAGTTATTATGCATACACTTGGTGCCAAAAACAATAGAATTCAGCAGTCCGTACTTTGATTCATTCAAACACTAGAAATCTGCAACACGTTCGTCAGTTTCCCCTTGTTCACATGAAATACAGCAGCAACTTAGCATTCAGCAGAATAGAATCACATTCCTGATCGTTCTTAGTGACTACGATTGATCAATATGAACATCCTACACCTTCATACATACAGTATTCTTGCTGTAACCTCATAGTACAAAGGTATCTTGTTAAAAGTTTCACAGCAAGTCTCAGAAGTCTGCAAACTAACTTGCTAATAACTTTGGTTTTGACGAAGCAAATAAACCCACACAATCTGCATACACATCAGTTCTCATCCAGTTGTTCAAAATGATATTTTTTTTAAAAATTACTAGCATTTAATGGAGATGTTGTTGGCAAAATAACGAGCTAACTTAGTGCCTCATTGAGACTTTGCAATTTCTGAGCACAAAAAACAAGAACTTAATTGTGTTGTAGATTAATTTACCTCCTTTTCAAGATTAACCATTCCATCACATTTCTCGCTGACCTCTTTCTGCAAATCAGCAATGTGATTGTTACATTGATTCACTCGAGATTCCAGTGAAGACGTTAACAGTTCCTTCTCATTCAGCTTCTCTTCCAGCTCCAGCACTTCAGACGCCCGCTTGCCTCTCTCTTCCTCAAGTCGGTTAATTATTTCCTCCAATTCTTGTGACTTTCTGTCACCTGTCATAATAATTTACATAAAACCACTTTGATTTCTAGAGGGACAACGTCAGGAAATGATTTCAACAAAATACTTCAAGAAGAATGGTGGCAAGAATAATTAAAAATTGTTGTTTTTTTTACCCATTTTGCTGTTCTCAACAACCGCCATTAGTTCACTCTTCAATCCATCCATCTGACTTTCAACAACTGGTGTAGACTCACGTAATCTTTGCAATCGTTGGATCTCGGCATCTTTCATGGCTAACTTCATTCTGAAATATACAAAACATAATATACAATAAAGTTATTATTCCATTTGTGATTGGACATCGCTATAAAATACATGCAAGATTTCCAGTAAAAGTATGCATGCTAGGCTGAATTTCATTGGTCATGTGGCAAGTCAGTGTGCCCTCTAACGAAACTTATTTTATGGGCATCATGAGTCAAAATGATATCCTAAAATCAAGTTGATCGAATCGGCTTGTTTAGATGATTAAATATGATTTTTTTAAACATTTTACATAATTATTCACAGAATTCTTGTATCAAGCGCCAATGATTTTAACCATGTCAAATCTGAAAAACTTCTGTAATTGATTTTGGTGATAATTTGGTTACCATATTTTGAAATTGTCATGAAAAGCAACTTTCATCACATCTAGTGAGTATTGGTGCAAGCATCCTGATCTTATACACTAACTTTAACGCTTGCACAACACAAAATTACCAAAATTACCTACAATGATTTGTTCTATTTTTTTTAACAAGTCGCCAATAAAGAACAGTTATTTCATTGAAAGAGATAAAATCTCCTTAAGTGAATATTCCTTTCTGACAAAATACTCACCATAAAATACATAAAAAAAATGAATATGAAACCAAATTTACACACAAGTAATTGTTAATATTTAAAACAACAAATGTTTTTGCATATGACGTACTTGAGTTCAGCGATCACAGCCCTGCCACTGGTACTACTGATGGAGAGATTTGCATCTCCATCTTCACTCAGTGACTGGCTGTTATTTAAATAATCTGCCTGTGGTGTTGTACTCCTTGGTGGACTACTGGCGTGGGAAGGACTGAAGCCATTTTGTTTAATAGTACTAGTCGTACTCAAACCACTGTCTGAACCCTGAAAGAAAATAAAAAATTAATTTAATTTATTTTATTTTAACTATTTTGATATTTGTAGCATATTTACTGGGTTTAAAACCAAACAATCTTCATATGAATTTAATAGTGGATTCCACTTATTGGTGAAAATAAAACTCAGTGAAATCTTTACACATGTAAAAGCTAACAAAAGAATTAACTAACCCTGACACCGAGGGCACTCTAACAATTTACTTCATAAAGCAAAGTTTTTCGTACGATATCAAACTACTGTAAAATACTTTATTTTAGCTGGAATTAATTTTCACTGAAAGGACTTTTTCAATGTTTTATAAGGAATTTATTTTCATTGATTTTTGATGAGTTGAATGTAAAATATAGAATAAAAAGGTATATTCGCTGAATTTTATTTTCACTGAATCATTCCTTCAGCAAAAAAATAGCGAAAATTAATTCCAAGCAATAATAAAGTATTTATTGGTTTATTGATTTTCCAACATACCAGAGAAGCACCAAGTGCCCTATCTTGTACTTTCTGAGCCAAGGACTCCAGTGTCTTCATCTCAACACGGCTGGTATCAAGTTCTTTCTGGCAGTCGTTCAGTCTTTCACTTTGTCTTCGTGTAATATCCTGTAATTCCACACAGTCTCTGGCTTTGGTTTCCAGCTGTCTAGTCAGGTGATTGATTTCTCGTGTTTTCTTATCCAAGTTGATTTCCAGTTCAGTGATTTTTTGAGACTGCCTTGATACCTGGGTTCTCAGTTCAATGTTCATTGTGTCGGTGTCAGACCTCCCCATGTAGTCAATGGAACGTTCATCTTCCAAAAGTCTGCAAGATATGACAATAAAGGAACTCAAAAATTAAAAACGACTTTTATTTTTCTGCATGTTTATAACAATTTCATTCCTTATATTAACTTCATATCACAATGACTGTTAAAAATTAAGCAAAAATATGAAAAATATAGTTTTTGTTCATACCAAACTTGTTCACACGTCAAGCTCAATTTTGGACCGAAATGTTAGAATTTAATACTAATTACTTAGTTGGACCATAATTTCTACACTTCCAAATACTGTGAAATACTTTATTTTTACTTCGCTATTTTTGCTGAAGGAGTGATTCAGTGAAAATAAAATCCAGCGATATACATTTTTTCCTGTATTTTACATTCAACTCAACAAAAATCAGTGAAAATAAATTCCATACAAAATGCCCCAAAAGTCTTTTCAACGAAAATTAATTTCAGTGAAAATAAATTATTTCACAGTATTCATTATGATTATACTGGTAAGAAAAGCTGACAACAGTAGCAAATGTTTTCAGAGCTTTTCTTTACACTTAACCAAAACAAAAAACAAGTTTTCATATGATATATAAAAATCAAAAAAAAAAAAACAGTTATGTTGTTTCACTTACTTAAATTTTTGTTGCATAATATGTAATTCTGATTCTAATGCTGCAGCTTGATTCAATAGTTCCTCTCTTTCTTTATCTGTATGTAGTAAACTATCGCGTAGATGCTCTTCATTACTTTGCAACTAAGCAGGGAATAAGAATTAACAAGTACGGTACAGAATTATGTTTTGAATAGTATTATAAAAGTCAGGACCAAGTCCATGCATCCAAGTGTACACTGTATCTCAGTAATCTGTTTTGTTCTAGACGACAGCCACAAAACAGTGAAATTATGATGATACATGAAGTTTGATATTAATATTTTAATATTAATTTTTAATAAATAAGCCACACTGCCAGCTCTTATGCTCTTGTTGCTGTATACAAGTGTTTTTTAATATGTATTTTATTGATTGACCTGTTTCAATTTTACATTTTAATTGATAATTAAATTTTGGAATTAAGCTAATTATAAAATAAATTCTATTAGATTACAATTATACTAAATAAAAAAACAATACTAGAGGAGGTCCTAAAGGAGAAATGTAAAATTGTCATTCAGACAAATTGTAATTATTATTAATTATGTTCCTGTGAACATGGATATAATAATACCATTGAGGGCAGTATAACAAACAGTATCAGCAGCTATATACGTATGCGTCAGAGACTGGTAATTGAGTCATGACTATTAAGAGATTAATTCAGTCGGGTATTTTAAGGTAGCGAGAAGGGAAATTTTCACTTTTTTCTTGATTTTTCAAAAATTGATAAAACGGTTACTTTAGACCTTGATACATCACCCCAGGTTTACAAAAGATCGAAATTGCGAAATAACGTTGCTCAAATTAGTGTTTTAAAACACTAGCAGAAAAACAATTTTTGAGGATAAGGAAACATCATGAAAAATTTGTCTTTATATCATCAATCACAACAATTTATGTGATGAAAATTAAACGATACTACCGGTAACACAGTTAATCTGAAATAAAGGGGAAATAGATTGACATATAACATACTTTTTTGATCTTCTCTTTTGTTTTTGTTCTGTATTCTGCAAGTTGATCATTTAGTTCTTCTAGACTTTGAAGAGACTCATCTCGTTGAGCTTCCACCCTAAAAAAACAAAACAAGAAAGTTTTATTTCAAAGTTGTAGATTCAAACGAGATAAGTATAACATCTCAACACAGAATGTTTTATTTTGAAGAATGTAACATGTCGATGCTTGTAGAGTGCTCTATACACGATCTCTATGGGTACAAATAAGTCCTATTGGAGGTCTGTCTCTAATAAGTCTCATTTCTGTGACTTCTTTCAACGGTTTCCATAATAGAATGTCCCAACAAACTCCACTGGTTTCGTATTTCATAAAAGAAGTCTAGAATATTTCTAATATTAGGAAAGCACAATAACTGGACAATCAGAAACTGCCTATTGCAGGTGAATAAATTATTCCTCGTAATTAAATGAAACAAATCTATATGATATATTTTACCACACACAACAAAATTAAATATGATGTGTAAAGAGACAAGTTGAAAAAATATAACTTTTACCTTTTTCTTCTGTGAATTTCTTCTGAAACTTCTGCTTGTGATGCTTTCAACTCTTCTCGCATCTTTTTAAAATATTTCTCTCTATCTTGTAATTGTTTTTGGCTATCTTCTAATCTGTTTTCAGCATCCCTAGAAAAGAGAATTCAATTTGTTATGTTTAATTCTGAATGTTAAAGAATGAGAGAATTGATACATGAACTGCATTACTTTTCCTGAGAGACTTGATTCTCTTACAAGTCAAAATGCAAACCACCAAAGTTCATGCAATTCTGGGTTTTCAAGAGGGTAGAATAAAATGGATGCTTGTATCTTTCACCCAATTTGCAAAATCCAGTTTTTATCAGAATTTATGATTTTTATGAATTCTTATCATCCAAATCGCACAGTTTCATCACACAGATGTAAGCGTACTTCTCGACAAACCTATACTGTATTCTACTGAGGATTCGATATGTGGCCTAGTAATATGAGGTTTCCACACAAAGGCAGTATCGTGATCATATCCACTGAAGCATAATCAATATCCATTTGATTCTATTTTGCCTGAGTATAATTTAGTGAAAATAACAGCACAAAATGTCTATAAAAACTGATTTAACAATTTTGTTTTTCTATTTTTGTCAAGCACTATATCGTAGCTCCTCCTTGAAATAAACAGTACTGGTACTTACCGAAGTGCCTTGTCATGTGCTAAAACTTCAGATTCTAGACTAACTAGCTTCTCTTCAACATTTGGTTCATTATCTCGGTAAGTATCCAATTCCATGTTCAGCATTTTAATCTAAATTTAAAAAAAACTAAATTTAATTTCATGCAAGACAATTTTCACAAATTTGTCACTGGAGTTTTAATGACCGCAAAATTTAGCTGAAACAATACTGAGTAACCTGGAAACCAAAATCATAATTTCTAAAAGTTACCATGTCTGAGAGTTAATTATTATGTATATATCTGTTATTATACATTGTAACGTCATAAGTTACAGCGTGCAGTAATTTTGCGGTATTTTACTGGGTATTTTCATCCTACCATATAAGGAAATGTGAATTCCTAATATGGAACGATTACACGCATAAGTGTCCTCTAATGATGAAAACAAATATAGCTGCCACCAGGGTTTGACCGGACCCTGCACAAAGAAGTTTGCTGATTCAGTTCTAAGCTTTTTTGGATTTTGGCGTTCCCATGATGTATCCTTGAAAGGAAAAGATGTATAATAATAAGGTTATTACGAGGATACGTTATTATCAGGATACCTCAAAGTATGCACAAAAGTACGCCTTCGCATCAACCTCCGCTGTGCGTCGGTCGATACTCCTGCTGTACTGTCTTTGTGCATACTTTGAGGTATCCTTGTAATAACCTCATATTATTGTCTTTACTGCAATTTATCCCAACATGCATTGCAGTTCCAACTTCTGCTTTTGGTGCGCACTCAATGCAACGGAAGTATGTAACATTCTGTGTCAAAGTTCACTCAGACATAGTGGAAACATAAGTTAAATAGTAGTCCTATGAACTCAGAAGGGAGGAAAATAATAGCTATACAGAAAAATGAATAAAATATATTGAACAAGCCATGCATGGCACAGTCCCTGTTAGTTATCAAAATTAAAATATATAGTTTTGTTTATAGTATAGCTGGAATATAACCATGTCAGGAATATGATTTTTTAACATTAAAATGATTGCCATTAGTATCTGATTGTCAAACAAGTACTCGTCCATATTGAGAGATATTGCTCTGGAAAGCATTCAAAATCAGCCATTTTGAATACATG